GAATTGTAACAGTAATGTGCAGGAATCAGACTCGTTCCGACACGACCAGACCAGAACACAAATATTGTCTGTATGTATCGCAAATGAACGGTTTACCCGTTAATCGACTGACTGCACTGCACGGAACACAATAGTGTGAGTTATTTCCTCAACGGCATTGACAGATTTAATAAGAAAATTTTGCGTTGTACGTTGCAAAGTCAAAAATTTTATTTACATTTAAATTCCTCTGTTTTTGCCGACGTGTTTCAACAACAATATGGGTCACATTTGCTGACTCTCACACTGAGTAAGCAGCCTATCAGGTGGGTCAAAACGACTTTCAGCTTTCGGAGGCGCTCACGTCAGACAGCATGTCCGTACGTCTCGCTCATTTTGGTATGACCACATCAGAACATCATGCTGCTCCAGCCGTTCACAAGTCAACGACTTGCCACCCGTTTCTCGGCCGGCTGCACCTAAACAAAATAAGGTATTCATTGCTCAATGAAATTTGCAATAAAGACACAGGTCGCTCTTTCCCCCGCTTCGACCTCGACCTCCTCGCCATCGTTCTCGTTCCATCACGCCTCAGACACAAACAGCATCATCACCAACGTGACAGTATACAGATGTAGCAGCAGGATGCTATTTCGTCTAAAATGGTACTGCTTCACTTGAGGACTACTACCCTGAAAATGATTCTAATATACGGCATCGAAACGCGTGGCAGAAATAAAGGAATTCACACCGTCATATAATCAGTTGCCTTGAACTTTGGATCGACAAGTAACCACAACTCTTGATCAAACACGCAAAAAAATCGATCCTTTCGTCCATACCACATGTCCCTCGATTTCAAACCGGGGTTGATCAAATGGTGGAGCGTTGAACTCGGTCTAAGAGGTCCTGACTTTGAACTTCGGTCGGGTCACTCGCCTTTCTTCCTGACGAGGTAGATAAATGAGTACCACTTTCTGAGAAGGAAACAGGGGACAACGCACACTTGCCACAGCCGTAGACCCGCCATTAACGTAAGAGACACTCTTGGTGATAATACAGAAATGGAAACCAGCGCAGCAACATGAGTTTCGTGAAAGAAAACGGCGTCACAAACGGCTTCTAGTCATGAAAGTGTGAGGACAAACGACATTCCTAAGGTTACGGTTTGCTTCCTTCCGTATATATGAATACGTCACAGCGAACAGATCAATTGTTTAAGCTTGTGTGACGGATAAATTCGCACATGTAAATACTACGCTAGCATAGCCGTTAAACGGGCCACATGCGTAATATCATTATGGCATTCAAAATTTGCACAGTGGATTAGATTGGCGATCGATCAGCAGATCTGTCGGGCACAGTTTCGTCTAAAGCTGACCCTGGTGCAAACTGCAGGCGCGTGACTTTCTGTTCCACACTGCAACGGTGCAAAGCATGCACATGCCATCTACGTCGCACGTCACT